ACACCCCAGGGTGTGCCTGGCACAGGACAGTGACATGGACAGACCAAGGCCTGCGTACACTGCTCCAGGAGGTCCTGACAGTCTTCGAGTCTCCTCTCACCTGCACCTCACTGTGTGAATCCACTCTTTATCCCAGGCTGCGTCTCAGTGCCTGATGGGTGAGCAGGACGTACCCACAGGAGAAACCCAGGGACCTCAGATGTGGCCACCTGGCTCACCTGTCTGGCATCCACAGGCCCTCCACACGGGTGGCCCCGAGCTGTGCTCATCTGTGCACTGCGTGGTTGCTGCCCTTGGTAAGGACCACACGGGAGACGCAGATTCACACAGAAAGCCCAGATTTGTTGTAGGCAGTGGTGTTAGATAGAAATATTATAGGCAGTCAGAGAGGGCTGGGCCCTCAAAAGAGCCAGTGGGGAAGATGACACACATCTTACAGCTGTGGAAGAAACAGATACCTCCAGCTGTGGGCCAGACTTCAAGACAAATGAAACAAGTGCACCCACATATCTCCTTAAGGATTTAAACATCAGGGATTCATATTCTAAATAGGCCTCTATCACCTTGAAAAAGCCAGGATCACCTTGCTACCTGACTCTTTTGATCCCGATTTAATCAATTTTACCCAAGAAATTATACTTGCAATCTTATTGTGTGACCATAGTTTTGTCTCACCTCATGCCCACCTTGTGAGATCCCATGTTTCCCACCTTGGACTCGCCTTACGTCATAAAAAGGCTCTATAAAAATCCCTAGAAAAGGCAGGTTCCTTGGCAACCCACTAGGATCCCCTTCTGTCTCTCTCAGACAAAAGCTTTCTTTCCTTTCATAAATATATCTGTTCTCTGCTCTTAACCTCTGTTGTTCCTAAAATTCATTCTTCAATTTTATCTTATATTTTATTTTTTGCTCCGAATGCTCAGGGCAGGTTTGGCTGGCTTCAGTTGTGAGGATCGAACCACAGCAACCTGAGCCTGAGTGCTTTGTTGAAGCAGCCACTTAAAGAACTGAGCTACGGGGCAGGCCCCCTATTCTTCAATTTTAGAGAACAAAAACTCATCCCAGCTATCTAATAGGTTGGGACTTTTCTCTTTCTTTCTTTCTTTCTTTCTTTCTTTCTTTCTTTCTTTCTTTCTTTCTTCCTTCCTTCCTTCCTTTCTTTTCTTTCTTCCTTCCTTCCTTCCTTTCTTTTCTTTCTTTCTTTCTTTTTTTTTTTTTTGGTAGCAGCAATCAAACTCAGGACCTCCTTGTGTTTGCCAGGCAGGTGCTTAAGCTGCTGAGCTATCTCTTAGGCCATAAGTTTCTATATATCAATTTCAATTTGTAGGAAGCAGTCAAGCAAGCCAAGTGCATGCCAGTAATCCCAGCTGTCTGGAAGGCTGAGGCCAGCCAGGACAATTTAGTAACTTAGTGAGATCCTGGCTCACAAATTAAAAATTCACAAAAGGGCTTGGAATGTGGCTTTGTGTAAAGACCCTGAGTTCAATTCTCAGAATGAAAGAAAAATAGCAGCAGAGAGAAAAAGAAAGAAGCAAGAGAGAAGGAGGGGGGAGAGAGGGAGGGGGGGAGAGAGAGAGAGAGAGAGAGAGAGAGAGAGAGAGAGAGAGAGAGAGAGAGAGAGAGAGAGAAGAAAAGAGGAAAGAAGGAAAAAAGGCAGGAAGGCAGGAGGCAGACAGGAGGCAGGAGGCAGCTGAACTTTCCGAAGTGGTCGCAGTACGTCAGACTCCTAGGGACGGCTGGCCTTGCTTGTGCAGCGGGCGATGGGTAGGACGCAGCCTCCCTTTGCCTGAGTGGGTTTTCACATATTTACCCTGCCCTCCTTGGGGAACAGCTATTCCAATCCTTCGCATAGCTTTAGGACAAGCACCAAGGAGTTTTAGGTTCACAGAATAACTACAAAGAGAGGCAGGACAGGAACTCGACACCCACCAGTGCCGTCACTGTCGGGGACTGCTGACGTGCGCACACTGCTCGCTGGCACCCATTCTCCATTCAGGTTTCCTTGGGTCCTGCCCAGGATGTGGGGGCCATCATGGCTCCTTGGGCACCTCTGCTGTGCAAAGTACGCTTTCTCCGCAAGGGTTTCTGTGATGTTTTCCTCACCATTGGGTCACGTTACATCCTGGTCCCTGCAGGACCCAGGTGTCTGCCCTGAAGCCCCCTTGGCCCATGCACCCTGGGGGAGGGAGCAGAGTCCAAGCCTAGCCTAGAGCCCTGTGCTCAGGGTCACCCCCAACTTCCATTTGTTTGTTTGTTTTGTTGTTGTTGTTGTTTTGTTTTTGTATTTTAAGGAAGGGTCTGGGTCTCACTACTAGATCGGACTCATAATGATCCTCCTATTTACAGCCTCTCAAGATCCGGGATTACAGGCGCATGCCACCACACGGCACACCCAGTGATTGAACTCTGGACCCCCTGCACCTGCTTGCAGGCGCTTTAATCCACTGAGCTATTTGGCCGGCCCTAACAGCTTCCATTTGTTGTTGAGTAGGTTTGGATTGTTGCTGTCAAATGGCAGGAGCTCTCTATTCAGTCTAGATACAAATCTCCTGGCAGATATGTGACTCAACAATATTTTATTTCAACATGTGTATGTCTTTTTATTTAGATTTATGCTTTTATTCACTTTTAATTATTTACTTTTTAAAACTTTCACATATTTTTTTACCTTTGAGCTATATATAGTCTTGCTGCTGTCCAGGCTACACTCAAATTCCTGGACTCAAACAATCCTCCTGCCTCAGCCTCCC